ACTCAGTTTCTTTTAAGTTACTTCCACTCATTTTGTATCCATGGTTGTGTACCTATTTGTCTTTATTTTTGTGTTTTCACTAATGTATGCTTTTCTTTTTTATTATTGCTGGCTTTCTTTTCACCTGCTATGCCACTTTTGCCGTAACAATGTACATTTCCCCACTCTGGGACTAATAAGTAATCTGATTACTTTAGAATCCCCCACAATCTTTTTTTTGTGCTTCTTTTTCTCAGGCGTTTGTGGATCTGACGAGGGACATCTTTGCGCTGGTACAGAGCGGGGACATCAAGATCCAGGACGGCTGGGAGGGCGTAAAGAGCGGACTTGTTCCCAACACGGTCCACTCCTCCGAGGAGGTCACCAAGGGCAACCGGCAGTGCTTCTGCTGACTCCCCCACTGCAGCATGGGGGGCTGACGGGCGGCCATACTTCAGAGGACTCCTTCTGAAGGAGCTCTCTCTCTCCAGCCTCGGCTGCACGCAGACCACTTTTTGGAGACTCGTTCTATTTCCCCCGCTCAGTTACACACCTTAATTCTATAAATAAGACATTGTTTAATCCTTCTGGTGCCTGTTTTTGGCTCTTTGTTGATAGAAGCACAAGCAGCATCCTAACCCTGTTTCCTGTTCTGTGTGCATGTGACTGTAATAATCCTGCAGACCCTCAACACTTCAGCTTTACTGCACATTCAGCCTTTCCTACAGTTATACTCCCGTAGGCAGTTATATGTTGTTGGCACACATCTCTTAAAGACTGATACTGTCAGTGTAATGTGTTTTATTTTATATTTAAACCTGATTCAGTGATGCCGAGACTGAGCCATGTCTCTTCCTTTTCATGTGTAATACTTTGAATAAATTGCAACCTTGTCCAGATACGCAGTGAGAGAGACGAGGCGGAAAACAGATCTTACTGCATCTCAAATCCTAGTGGCTTAATACAGAAAGAGGGCGAAGTGTGATGAAGTCAAATTGAACCAAAGTATGACACCTGGCTGGACTCTTTGTTGTATATCTGAAGGAGTTTGTTAAAATGTCGAAAAGGAAAAGCTACTGTAGCTGCTCACTGATTACCATTACAACCTAATCATAGTAAGGATTATTTTTAAATATAGTTAGTACCTAAATTCATGTTTACTACAACTACTGTGTTAGTTTACTGGTCAGCACCTTAAAGCCTTTAGTATGGAACCCCAAGGTGTTCAATATTTATTTAAAAATTATTAATAATCATATGCCTATATGTACAATACACATAAACCAACGGTTGATTTAGTGAAATTACTGAATAAATGATTAAACTCATTAGTTTGACATGTGATCTTATCGTTCCTTTTTTCACTAAGTTTTTAGTTGATAAGGGTAATTTTCTCAAATATTTCCTTACTTATTTTATCATCATTTTATGGTATTGTCTAATTTTATTAGCAGCTGTTGTGTTAACTTAAACAATGTGATCGGATAAAAGGTGAGATATTTTTTTATTTTACACAATGTGTTTGTGTAATTTGTCATAATGACTTGTCTTTTCGATATTCAACACTTTGGGGCTCCGTACTGATTTCAAAAGTCTGTTTAAACATTCACAATTAACACTTAACATTACACGATACCTTCTGGTTACAATCTCCTCTCACACCTATACCTAATCACTTAATTCAATTAATCAACTTTAAGCGATGCATGCCTCCATTTTAACCCACATTTTCCAAATAATTAAAATCATTTTTATTTTTGATATACTGTTAATAGCCATTGCATTCAGTTCCTGGGATCTCATCAGAAAAAAGCAGAGTTAATGAAGATACATAACTGTATGTGAAACACTGACGGATTTGAAAAATGTGGATTATTTGAACCCCGATTGGTTGCTCAGACTGTAGGACAGATTGTTGGCATTCATATTCACTAATTCAACAGTTTAGGAATAAAGATGAGTGAGTTCATAAAGTGTAACAGTCCAGTGGAAGAGTCTCCTCCGAGTGCCTTTTGGAGGAAAGAAGCCTAACTAGCACACACAGTCATCTTCCTGTTCAAAGATAAAACTGTGTATTAAAATATCTGAACTGTAGGGTGGTAGGAAATACACTGGTGTCACATTACACACATCCTGTAAATAATTAGTTTGAAACCAAACCCTGACAAAGCCGACTGTTCGATGTTGTTGTGACTCTGGGATTGTTATAGCACAAGTGTCATCAATAATACATGCCTGGAGACATTAATAAAGATTTGTTGTGTGCACAAAATCGGAGGTTCGCTGCTCTCTTTAACATATTACTCTTGCTGATACTGTTGTGTAACCAGAACCGGAAGTAGACAAACTCAATGTTAACAGTAATACTGTCTGCGACCAGTAGAGGGCAGCCTCAGTGTGGGGAGCTTTTTCAACACATGTTCAAAATGAGGCCTATTCTTACTTATTAATAATTAAACACATTTCAAATAAAAACTTCAAAGAAAGACAATTAAAAAGTATAACGATGGTTTTGGCCTTTTGCCTTTAATATAGAAAAAGTTGGAGAGAGTGGGGAAAAAGGGCAGCCATTTCGATTTTTTTGAAGGAATTCATATTTTGAATCAGTTAATTTGGTACAACTTTTTAAATAAAAATCATAATTCTCAATATACTATTTGCAATTCTGAATCTTGAATTCATTTTCTCACATGATATGGTTTTCTTGCTGCTTGACCAAATACTATTTGGTCTCTTCCTTGGTAACCAAAGTAGATTAGGCTGCTTATCTAATATTTGCATGTACGTATAGCTTTAATTTCTCTGTCATATCTACACCCCAGAGAGCAGAAGGGAGTTTTTAGTACTAAAGGTATGGACAGTTACCAAATATGGACAAGGCAGACAGAGGGCCTCAAACAGGAAGGAAGGCATGTAGTGTAAAACTACACTGCCTGGCCATTTTGTGGGAGAGGTGCACAGGATGGCTGAACCATGCCAAAGGGTTTGTGTTTATTTCACTTTATCAATACTTTCTTTACTTTGTTTTACCATAAAGTAAAACACTGACTAAATAAATAAAGATGTATGTGATTATTTTATGGAGATACATTTAAGAATGACATTTTTCAGGCTGCAGGATGCATGAGAGTTATTTTGTATAACAGATGAAAGGTTACTGACTGAGTGCATTTTAAACATACCAATATTCAAGTGAGGTCACAGGTGAAAACCAGTAAAAGTGGTCTTTAAATAGCCTTTCCCCTGCAGCTCATTCTGAGGAGGTTTGAAGTTATCTTCAATAACAAAAGAGGTAGATAAAACACTGACTACCTTCCATTAGCATGAATTATTTTTATTTTAAAAAAAACATTGAAAATACAGCTTGTTTTTTTTGTACATGACAGCCATATGTACAGGATATAAAACAAAGCGAAAAATAGATCATTACGGTTAATGAGATAGCAATGAGGAGGGGAGATGATGGTATGGATTGTTCAAAGGCACGAGGGCTGAGAATGAAGAGCTCTGAGTGACAGGAGCCACAGCCACACACCCTTTAATGATATCAGAGTGAAAGTATTTCAATAGTTTCTGATATACAGCTGGACTCTTTGTTTCTCCAGCCCCGGTGTCTCTCAGGCAGAAGGATGGCTCTTTAGGCACCAAGTTATCGAGTTCCAATTCAATCCAAATCTACCTCTTCTTCATCTCCCTTCTCCACAAACATTGTGTGTGATATGACATGTTTTTACACATCTAAAAAAGGTAGGATCATTTCATAAGCAACAACAGGCAGCATCTACAGAAATGCCGGAATAGTGCATCCACCAGGACCATTTTCATCAAAAAAAGGGGTTTCAGCAGCATTAATTATGAAATGAAATGCCTTTAGTGTAATTTACAAGTAAAACATTCTCACCTATCAAGGTCATATGTTAAAATAGTGTGTTTGTATAATATACAGCATCAAACAAATGAAGAAACGGTTTTAAACAAATACTGTACAATCTACAGTAAAGCAGTTTACTAGAAATCCCCAAAAATACTATAAACAATAAGTTATAAAGACTCCAGAGGGTCGGGGTTAAAAAATATATTTTTATATATATATTACACAATTTAGAGACCAACTGTTAGTGGTCGTTTGTAATGGAAAGCCCAGTTTCCAAAACAAGTTCATTTGGTCAGAAAGATTTAGGATTTGGTGACGCAAGACATTTTCAACAAAAGGGGAAACAAATAAACATTAAAGCAGGAGACCAAAAAAAGATCAGCACACTAAAAACTGTACATGTAACAATCAAAATACATTAAAGGTCCCATGTCATGGCCATTGATCATAATTCCATTGTTGAGGTCTACTAGAATAGATTTATATTGTGCAATTTTCCAAACTCACATTGGTTTCTCATACAACATCTCTGTAAACTACGTGTATTCACAGAATTTCACTCTCTACCTTTAACGGCTCGTTGTAGCTCCAGCCCCCAACGTCCTGACCAATCAGAGCACAGTGTGCTCTGATTGGTCAGGACGTTGTGAATCGCGCTAAACTCCGTGGAGGTGTTGTTTCCTTGTTTAGCGACAGCGAAACACAGCCAAACTCACCCTGAGCACACACAAAGTCACAGCCGAAGTAAAAACAATAAGTGTGGCTTGATATTGAGTAAGAAAAAGGTTGATAAACGCTGTGAGAATGGGTCTGCAGAGAGAATTTCGCCGCGATCCCAACTGTCTGTTATCAGCCTGCAGCCAGGGAGGAGAGATCAGCAGAGCTGCCTGCACTGAGTGTGTGTGTGAGGAAGTCCGTGGATTGGTCAATTTGGACCAATCAGCGGGGGCTTAACGTAACCGCTCCACGGCTTGGTCCATTTGGTTCCGGGTTCCGGGTAACGCATGACATCATGAGTTACCCGGAAGAATCAATGGCAGTGACGTATCTCCAACGAGGCGTTTTGGGGAGGTATTTTCTGTGTTAAGAGTTTTACTCGCTACAGGGTGTACTTTGAGGGTTTTGACTCTGCAGACCGTTTACATGCATAAAAACCTTCATAACACACAAGGGGACGGGTAATAACCGGAAAAGCATGACATGGGCCCTTTAACACCTAAAAATCATATCCAGTTGATTGAGATTGAAGAAAAGCTATCCCAAACAAACAATACTATAAACATTTGAATATTAACAGATCTATCAGTAGAAGTTAATAAAGTAGTACACATAAAATACGGATGAATAAAATGAAAGTGATGGAAACTCTCTAATTCTTCCTTAGTTTGGCTTGAAACTAAACAAGAACCGTTGTGCGTCTTTTCACAAGTAAAAAAGGTGAATGCGATATTTTAGTGGTGATGAAAAAGAGAGACCCCTCATTCAGAAACAATCCCCGGCTCCCAGATCAGCCAGAGGTGGACAGATTATAATATTTTAAATGTGATGCGATTAATGACCTCATTAAGTGCAAATCTGATCAACCCTCCCCAGATCTGCAGAAATATCTGGGTGCAGCCATGCGAATGACATGAAACACATATGTAAAGGAAATCTGGAATTTGCTAATTAGATTATTTGAAATTCATAGATATGTACATGCCCATATCAAACCAAATATTGGCAAATAAGTGTATGAAAGCATGTTTTGGAGATGGATGGGGTTTTCCCTATCAGAAAGCAGAGCAGAGGTTTAATGATGTGACTCTTGCTTTGCAGTTTTTTGTTCAAATCAAGTTCATGGCCCTGTAAAGGGTAGAAAGAAGTTTGTTGCCCATTGGGCAGTTAAAAAACATTTTGTTTTCTGGATCATGTTAAAATGAAAGCCATAAAATACCATTTCAATACAGTCTATAGGAAACAGATAGTTAACGATATGCAACTAATTTAATATGACTTAAAAAAGGTCCCGTGTACAGAAGCTGTCTGGCTGTTCTCTGGGAGCGGGAGGGGGGGGCTCTGTAAAGCGTGGACTTCAGCCTCGGACACTGAACCGTACAGTGTGATGACATCGAACACACTGATGCTGTAAAGCACAGACTCAGTGCCGGCTTGTTTACACACAAACAACCAGGCTGCTGCAATGAACAAAGGACCAATAAACTAGAAACTATCTCTACTAAAGGCTCTCGCACATTGTGGGGGTGAGACTCACTGATCCACGTGTCTTGACCATTGGACCTTCACTAGCTCAACTCATAATACTACTCTCTAGCCGGTGGATCTACAGCGCACCGGTAACGGAGAGGTGGTGAAGACGGGAACAGTTACATTTTAACATTGTTCCAGTTAACGGCCTCAGGTGCGCCGCAGTACACTTTGTTAGTTAGGTCCATCGAAAGCATGTTATAGGCAGGTAAATATCTCCCGGAGGGCTAAGGCTAAGTACGAATAGACAGATTAAACGGACACATGGGCCAGAGAGTGGCCTGTCACAGTGTCTAGCCATCAAGTTAATCAGCCTCGGAGTCAGAGGTAAGATGTGTGTGTGTGGCGCTCTCTTGCCTCTCCTCCCTTTAAACCCAGGGCTGCGCTCCAGGCCGCCTACATCGCAGCATTTGGCCGCCAGTTCAACCTCGCTGCCAAAACGTGTGTAGTTGCTCTGGCAACACCCCCCAGGTCTACGGCAGTGGGCATCAGGGGCTGCTGCCTCCCTCCACGTCGCTGTTGTCGGGGGCGCCCTTGTAGATCGGGCTCTTGGTCTGCAGCGCGGGCGCGTATTTGCGTGGGGACTTCCGCCTGGCTGCTTCACTGCTGTTCTTAATACCGTATAGGAAGTAGATAGCGAAACCTGGAGAGGAGGAGAGAAGCAACGGGAAGTTACAAAACAGTCACAGAAAAGTGAAGCAATAGAAATGAGAAACACCATTGGTAATGTTTATATTGTACCGATAAGCATCCAGACGGCAAAGCGGCACCATGTTCCTCGGTCCAGCTGCATCATGAGGTAGATGTTGACGAAAACGCTGAACAGGGGCAACCAGGGCAGCAGAGGGACCTTCAGAGGACAGGGGGAGAGTCAGCATAACTATTTTAAACTTTACCTGGTTCTTCTCTAGGTAGCACTCAGTGAGAGAGTCAGGGAACAATGTGTACCTAAGTATACGTAGTTTTATAATGCCAAAACAAAACAGCCATATCTCCCTATCTGTAACACAACGGGTGCTAACTCAGAAGTTTGTTTGTTTGTTTGTGGCCTTTATTTATCCAGGTAAAAATCCCATTGAGATCAACGATCTCTTTTACAAGGGAGACCTGCCGCACATTGGTTACACATGTAACAGAAAACAAAAGGACACATACAGCATAATGACAGGGGTATAATTTACAAACTTATTCACAAAGACAGGTACCAGGAGTATCAAATATCAAGTCATCCAGCTGTGCTTTAAAATGATGCAGGGGAACCAAAATGCTAATTTTCAATATGTTTTGCAGAGTGTTCCAAGCTAGAGGAGCTGCGCACATAAACGTTTTTGTGCCTAAAACAGTCCTAGCACTTGGTACATGTAATAAAAACACATCCTGGGATCCTAGGCAATAGCTACTTGCGACTCTCTGTGATATCAGTGAGCAGATGTAAGGTGGTAGTTTACCCAGCATGGCTTTAAAGATGAACACGACCAATGACTGAGTCTCCGAACAGTAAGTGATGGCAGACTTGCCCTTGCATACAGGGTACAGTGATGAGTAAGTGTTTTACAGTTTGTAACAAATCTCAGCACACTGTGATAGGCTAACTTGGTCAGGTAATGGGCAGGTGCATTCATATATATCAAATCTATATATATATATATATAGCTAAAAAGGTCACAGAGCCTTTTCCTGGCCTCAAGCGAGAAACAGGACTTGTTTCTGAAAAAGAAACCTAGCTTCACCCTCAGCTTTCTAAACAGATTATTGACCTGAGGTTTAAAAGAGAGACAATCATCAAGCCAGATACCAAGGTATTTATAACAGGTAACCACTTCAAGAACTTTTCCTTGCGTAGAAACAATATCCAAAGCTGTCTCTGGTGTCTCTGGGGTCTTTTGAAAATAGCATTACCTTAGTTTTATCCACATTTAAAAGAAGCTTAAGCTCAGAGAGCTGCGTCTGAATAATATGAAAAACAGCCTGTCATTTAACAACAGCCCCCTTAATGGAGGCACCTGCACAATACATCACGGTATCATCAGCATAAAATGTAAAGTTGCTTCATCCACATTTTGACCTAAACTGTTGATATAGATGGAGAATAAAAGTGCACCTAAAACAGAACCTTGAGGAACACCATTTGTAATGTTTAACCACTCAGAAGTGAGCCCATCAAAATGAACACATTGGGACCTTTCAGAGAGATAGTTCACAAACCACCCCACTGTATGGCTGGATATGCCAGTACTGGCCAGTCTCTGCTTCAGGATTTGATGATCGACGGTATCGAAAGCTTTGGAAAGATCAATAAACAGAGTGTGTGTGGTTACCTTGAAGGTGAGAGCCTCTTTGCTCTCCGGCTGCCTCCAGATGATGATGACACAGACGACGCAGAGTAAAGTCAGGATGACACACGGCACCACGACGCCTGCATGTCCCGCCAGCAGCTCTCTGAGACAGTTAGCCAAGATAACGCAGAGGACAGTGATAAAAACGGCTGCAAAGAGACAAGCAGGAGACAAGGTTAGATAACAAAATCCTAGGTTGCCCCAACAATTGACTAACAATGATGGTTAGCTTATTATCCTTGTTCTCTATTTATCAGCCATCTTGAGATTCCTCCCAGCCACACTTACAGATGATAGCGGTGGTGGCGTAGACAATGTTCCCGGACGTCTGCGTTGGGACCTTTCCACTCGGGCAGAACAGCAGCTTGATGGTTAAAGTCTCCCGAAGCGGTTTCTCCTCCGTCTCCATGCCGTACTCGTCACCGCTGTCTCCTCCGCTCACGGCCACCTTCTCCCCTTCCACCATCTCCACCAGCTTCTCCGTCTGGCTGGAGGAATTCAGTCTGCCGGGCTGGTACCTGCAGAGGGAGGGGGAGATATGTGAATTCCTCAACTTTTATTATAAGATTACTTTATCTGTGCAGAGATTGGGACGCAGGTATTCTTCTAAACTGGCTTCTTTGATATTTGCGATGTCTGCTAAAGAGTAGTTGCCACATTATTACAACTTCAGAAGACTTTGTGTGCTTTATTAGAGATGGCAAAAGTACACACATCCTTTACTCAAGTAGAAGTAGAAATACTCGTGTTTAAAAATACTCAAGTACTGACTAAACTAAAGTAAAAGTAAAGAAGTATGGGCTTTGAAATGTACTTAAGTAAAAAGTACCCATAACTACCAACTGTTTACATTTTTAGTAACTGACCTCACTTTATATTAATAGAACAATAATGTCATTGTTAGCGAATGAATGTTTCGATGCTGAACAACAGCAAAATGACAACGTTTTCATTGGTCCCTCTTCTTTAGAGAAGACCAGGAAGTGATGGATACACGGATCGTGTTCAAATCAATAGGCACGCAATGACTCTAAATAATAATGCACACGCCACCAAACACACATTAAAACTAAAGTAACCAGCCTGTGTTGAAAATGCAAGAAGTAGAAAGTGCAGGTATTTGTGTTAAAAGTGTAAGAAGTAAAAGTAAAAAGTCGTCAGAAAAATAAGTAGTGAAGTAAAGTATGTACTTAAGAACAGTAACAAAGTATTTGTACTCCACACTTCCAACCTCTAGCTTTAATCCGATAAAAAGTGCTTACCTGAGGATGAGGACAGCAGATGCCCTAAAGAGTACCCAACACGAGTTCCGATACACCCATTGAGGTCCACCAGCTGCTGCCAGGTCGAACAGGAAGGCATCAGAAAGCTGTAAGGAGGAGTTAAAAAGGGATTTCTTAGAAAATAAAACGTTTCCTGTAACGTCAAAACCAAATCTTTGATGCTAAGACTGGCCTAACAATGCGGAAAAAACCTTCAGTTTGCATTTATGACAGACTTTTCTAAGAGTTATTGATCCTAACGCAATAGCATGACTCACTGGCATTGGCTAGAGATCAATAACCTTAGAAAAGATCTGCATAAATGCAAACTAAGGTTTTCTTTCCTGCATTGTAGGCAGTCTTAGCCCATCAAAGCTTTGTTTTTTTGACGTTACAGAAACGTTTGTTATTTTCTAAGACTCCCTTTTTACTCCTCCTTACAGCTCTGATGGCCTTCACCTGTTCGAGCCTGGCAGCGCTGGTCGGACCTCATGTCTTCGGAACTCTGTTGGCGTACTCTTCTAGTGGGCCCATCTGTGTCCTCATCCTCAGGTTAAGCACTTTTTAATTCATTAAATGCTAGAGGGGGAAGTGTGGAGTACAAATTACTTTAGAACTCAGACATAGTACATACTTTACTTATACACTACTTATTTTTCTGATGAACAACTTTACTTCTTACACTTTAACACCAATCCTGCACTTTCTACTTCTTGCATTCTTTCAACACAGGCTGGTTACTTTAGTTTTAATGTGTGTTTGGGGTGGCGTGTGCATTATTATATTAGAGCCATTGCGTGGCCTATTGATTTGAAACCGACCGTGTAATCCATCCTTCTGGTCTTCTCTAAAGAACAGAGGGACCAATGAAAAACGTCTGTCATTTGCTGTTGTTCAGCATCGAAACAATCATTAGCTAACAATGACATCTTACCTGTTCTATTATATAAAAGTGGGAGGGTCAGTTTACTAAAATCGTAAACCAGTTGGAAGTTATGGGACTTTTTACTTAAGTACATTTCAAAGCCCATACTTCTTTTACTTTTACTTTAGTTTAGTCAGTACTTGAGTATCTGTTTTAAACACGAGTATTTCTACTTCTACTTGGTAAAGACTGTGTTACTTTTGCCATCTCTAATAAAGCACACAAAGTCTTCTGAAAAGTTGTAATTAATGTGGCAACTACTCTTTAGCAAGACATCGCAAATATCAAAGAAGCAGTTTAGAAGAATAACCTGCATCCCAATCCTCTGGGCACAGATAAAGTAATCTTATAATAAAAGTTGAGGAATTCACATATCTCCCCTCCCTCTGCAGTACCAGCCCGGCAGACTGAATTCCTCAGCCAGACGGAGAGCTGGTGGAGATGGTGGGAAGGGGAGAAGGTGGCCGTGAGCGGAGGAGACAGCGGTGGACGAGTACGGCATGGAGACGGAGGAGAAACCGCTCCGGGAGACTTTAACCATCAAGCTGCTGTTCTGCCCGAGTGGAAAGGTCCAACGC